AGTAGGGCGGTGCAGAGGTCGGGAATCAAACTTCAATCACGTTGCATACCTACCTGCCTTGTAGAGGGATTATGTGAAGTTGTATGAAACTATTTGTGTGTGTTAAAGTTGTGGGAGACATGTAGATTTTACAATGCTGATCAACTTTGCTTCTTGCTTTTCTCTGCTCAAACCTTCTTCACAACTTGTAACATTTTTGAGATTTTTATATCTCAAACCACAAGAGAGGACCAGGAGATTTTGGGCTTTGTTGGGCCCAATTGGGTTTTTTGGTAGCTAAATAGAAGATATGGGATGAATGTGGGTAGATCTAGAAATACAGGGGTTGGTCTTGTTAATAAAATAACTTGTTCGAGGGGATAAATATCTTCTCTTCTCCTGATCTTGGGGCTCAAGTCCACTTCTCCCTTTAAGAGAAGCCAAGAAACGAAGAAGACCTCGTGAATCATCAAAAAGCTTCAAAATTGCTTTCAATGGATGCTAAGATCGGACAATTCTTTGAATCCGTCGGTTCCTTCTTCTCCGGTGGCGATCAGATCCCTTGGGCCGACGCTGATGTCATCGCTGTAAGTTTCCTCTTTCTTTCTTCGGTTTCGGTTTTGTTTCTCCGTCTTAGGTTACAGAAATTGAAGAGAAATGGTTATTAGAACTATTTTCGTGTTACAATTTCTGAAATCGGGTTTGCTTTCTCGAGGATTGGTTCGTCCTTCGTCAATTTTTTTTGTGTGTGGTTTGAATCGAGCTTTAGAAGTTGATGAGTTGCGAAAAATCGTCTTCATGTTTGCTTCGATTGCTGATTATTTGAACCTCACGTTGGATCCTTGCAGCAGAATGCTTGAGCTTAGTCACAGTGTAAAATGTCACATCTTCGTGGTTTTTGTTAGATAGTTTCGTATCTTGTTCAATTCTTGTAGCTTAATCACTGTGAAACTGTTACTAAATGTCAGATATCTTGTTCGCCAGCTAAACTCTTATGTTGTTTTTGATGGTAGGGATGTGAAAGAGAGGTCAAAGAGGCCACAGATACTGGCACTCAAGAACGTGTTACGGAGTGCTTAATGCGATTGTCATGGGCTCTTGTTCATTCCCACCAAACCGAAGATGTGCAACGCGGAATAGCCATGCTTGAAGGTAGTCCTAGCCAGTCCTGTCTTGTTGTTCTGTGGATACCATGACCTGAAAGTTTGGTTTTGATGCATCATGTAAACATGAGATTAATAAATA